CTTGGGGGGTTTTAAGAACTCTAGAAGGCGCTATATCAAATACAGGCCATTTACCATTTTACCATAAGGTACACAGCGAGCTGAAGATGTGGAGATTGGCTTGGAGCGCGTCGCAGAACCAGAGCGCATGCGGGAAGATTCCTCCGACTGAAGCAAGTGTTTTCCAAACCCGGTCTCTCAGAGAGACTTGTCCCTTACAAAATGTTCCCTGATGATGAAACTTTGGCTGAATAGTGCTTGTTCCTGTCTCCAATGTGGCGACACATCCAGGAGCCGTCTGAGGAGAAGCCCAGAATCTCACATCCTCTTCAGCTCAGGAAGCGCCTATGATTACGCACAAGCGTGACGCGTCAACCCGGTCTCACAGTAAGACCGGGTTGGACATGTTCAGGTTTACGCAGACAATCTTTACATTTAGAATTAGCATACAGATGTAAAATTAATGCAGTAAAATGTAAACATTTTTATTTAAATATCCATTCATTATTTTACAAGCACAGAGAGCCGCATCAGATGGATGGAAGAGCCGCATGCGGCTCCAGAGCCACCGACCCCTGTGCTAGCCTATATTGTCCCCAGCAATTCTGAAAACAAACTGACTCCCTTGAGAACAACGGATCTATCTAAGGAAAAACAAAGCGTATGATAAACATTGAATTACAAAACCAAATACTTGGAGAAGCCTAGAGGTGTTTGAAGGCTCTCCATGACAAAAGGAAAAGAATAACAAACGATGAATAACACATAAATAAAACCAATAGATTAAGGTGGCCACCATAAAGAGATAACAGGAGGAAACAAATAAAACCAATATATATATAATGTGAGTTACATTGACACATCAGCTTTGATTTGCTCATTTCTAGTTATACTTCCAGACAGTTTACGAGTTCTCTCATAGAGACAGACGTCAGAGAGATTCAAGTGATGACAAATAATGATTTGGAAATGCCCAATATGCAGTTTTGAATACAAACAGGTACTGCGACACCAGTTCCATACACCCGGGTGTGTTTGACATCAAATGAACTCCCCCTCTCTGGATAAGAAATATTTGAAAATCAAGAAAACCAATATATAAAATCAAGAAATTAAATGTAAAAAGGATTCGGAACCAAACATTGCTTTCCCTACTTCGCATTTTTTGTCCTTCTCTCTCTTTACTTTTCTGAATGCCTGCTCGTCTTTTATTTGTTTCATCTCGCCACAACGTCGCGACTCTTAACTGTTCTTCCTTATTTAATTTATTGTTGCCGGTGGCTGCTGCTTTAACTTTGTAAATACTGACTAAATCATGCCATTGCAAACCCCTTAATCTTCCGTCCACCTTGTATCAGACTGCTGGCGAAGGCAAGGATCACACTGGACTTTTCAGACAACATTTACACAAACGGTCAACCACCGCAATAAATCAACACTTCCCTCTTTCTTTCTTTCACATACACACACCATCAGAACCTCAGCCAAACCTCCTCACACACACACACGGAACCTCAGCCAAACCTCCTCACATACACACACACATGGAACCTCAGCTAAACCTCCTCACACACACACACACGGAACCTCAGCCAAACCTCCTCACATACACACACCATCAGAACCTCAGCCAAACCTCCTCACACACACACACACATGGAACCTCAGCTAAACCTCCTCACACACACACACACACACACACATGGAACCTCAGCTAAACCTCCTCACACACACACACACATGGAACCTCAGCCAAACCTCCTCACACACACACACACACACACACACACCATCAGAACCTCAGCCAAACCTCCTCACCCACACACATACACAGAGAACCTCAGCCGAAGCTCCTCACACACACACACACACACACACACACACACACACACACACACACACACACACAGACTAGACAGAGCCCACAGCCAGACTTAAACACAATCACAGAACATCACCACAATGCGACAAAGACTAAATCAATGGCTTAGACACAATCAACAACACTTGAACACAATGAACAAAGCCACAAAACCACGAAAAACTCACAAAGAAACAATAAAATGATTAGAGACGATTTGGGTCTTTTGAGCCAAACGTAGCGGTGATCGTATTTCATACCTCTGCAGCACCTTAAAATATGTAACAATCAAAGCGACAGCGTGTTTACTGAGAACTTCTTTAAACTTTTCCAACACACGGTGGTCAGCCAAGATATTGTGGCAGCTTTAACGCAGCGCTTTTTATAGCTATCCGCCTTAACGTGGCTGCACATCACGTCTCATTACAGCGTCGTAAGATGGCAGGTTGACATCTATTCATGCAATGCGCATCTCACATACTATACATATCCGATGAATTTAAAATGAGTTGGCGATGCGCGGGGTCAATACATTTTGTAATAAATCTCAATGCAGACAGCATTAAAAAGAATCCGTCCAACCCCTCTCATCGTAAAGGAGTATATGCTTAAGCCAGTCTGGCTGCACACCACGTCTCATTGCAGCGCCGTAAAACGGCAGGTTGACATAATCCACTGTAGTGAACCTGGGTAGGCTCTGCCAATTATGTAGAGTAATGGTTTATGCTCTTTTATGAAAGAGGAACCATTCCACATATTAATTTGGGATATTAATTTTAATAAATTAATAACCAAATTTTATAGTTTTAAGAAGACTCAAAGGTTGTTTTCATCGATAAACTGTCGATAATACCCGTGGGTCTGTGTTTCAGATCAATGAAGAGACAAGTTTGAAAGTTAAAAGATTTAATTCGTCAAATTAAATTAATGGTTTTGAAATGACAAGCATAGGAAACAACAATCAACATTGGCAACTTTGTTGGACAATCTTTAACAGCTGATATTGTAAGCTTGCTCAAACAGACCTTGTGTTGGATGTGCTGAAGATTGAGAATGATGTGATGTGATTATGGATGCGTGTGTGCAGGTGTCTGAGATTGCTTCAGGAAGAAACGGGTGTCTGAGTGAAAAGTGATGGTTTGAATAAACTTAGGTTTTGTTGGAAAAGATGCATCAAACGCTATCTCTCGTGGACTGCCTCACCGACTTTAGGACCCTCTTTTAGATCCGGGACGTCAAAGGAGGATGTTTCATCCAGGGCACCTCGGCTGACAGAGTAGACGGAGGTGTCCGACGCTCCGGTCCAGAGATGACCTCGGTACACGTGATGATGAAGCGTTTGCAGATGCGCTTTCTTAAGTTTAAATTACTCAGAAAATCAAAGACTCTGGACGAGTCTGTGTTAGCGGTTGCAATTCAGCTATTCCTGTCTGGCTTGGCAGGAATAGCGTGGGGGGGGGGGGGGGGGGCGCAGCCCCGTTCCCCATTGGCGTTGTTCACAAGTCCTCCCTCTTTCGTTGTCAAACACCGAACTGAATCATGAACTGAAAACTTACCAAAAGCCTTTCTCTTCTCAAAGCAAACGTGTGCGTCAGAGCAAATGTGTTTTGGAGTTTACTGTGAGAGTTTGTGTGTGTGAGAGTGTTTGAGTGAGTGTTTGAGTGTGTGAAGGTCGTTACCAAACATCCTCAAAACATTATTTAATTAAGCATTGATTCATTAGTTATTATGATTACCCAAAGCATAATAATCATTCATTTGATTAAAACACATTTATAATGAGCAAAGTGATAATACTGATCATTTAACAACCTAAAATAAAGGAAAGGAAGTTTAAGACTTTGTTATGTTATGACTAGCTTTTCCATGAGAACACATCTTCTGGCACTGCAGGTGTTCAGATGTTATGGTTTCTCCCAGACTCGCTGGCGTTCAGGTCTTAATCTGTGGGTGAAAGTTCTCAGCGACCCAGCTTTGACCCAGCCGAGTCAAATGAAACCTTTGGCACAGAAAACCCATATTTCCTCACGTTACACCATCCAACCCCTCTTACTGACAGCTGTAAAGGAGTATGTGCTTAAGCCAATCTGCGGTTGGCCGCTTTAATGCAGCGCTGTTTTATTTAATCAGTCAGCTCACTCTTTCTGCAGTTTTTTTATCATAGGTCTGCAATTTCAGTCTTATTACTGCCCACCTGAGACCGTGGTGGGTTGGACTGAGGACGCGGACCCAGTCCTGATTACAACCTCCTCCTGGGTAGCGATCTACGGCCACCGTCAATCTCTTTCAATGCTATTTCAGGTAGACAGGTGCTACCGCAATCAGCCGGGTCCAGGACAAGACTCAGCCTACAACAGCTGGGGCGCAAAACGTCTCTCGCGCCGGAAAGACAGACACATACATAAATACACTGTCAATCAGCCGTTCATGAAAAAGGGTGCAACATACAAGGAGGTACTTCCACCTCGGCTCCAGGTGCACACTGAATCAACAAAGCAGTTTCTAGACTTTTCTCATGGGAGTTTTACTGATAAAACTGACTTGCTTGGTCTGCCAGAAACAGCTCGAAGGTCATGTCCTCCCTGTAAAGGCTACAGGATGAATCCTGCGTTTATTTGTTCTTAAGGAGCACCAGAAGTTTTACCAGTCAAGAAATTAAGCTATAATATCAATATTTACCTAACAACATCCAACAAACATCCAAATGTGTTTAATAAACCAGACATCACACCTTTCTGAGTCACTTAGAAAACTCTTAAACACACCAGGTCATGTTTCATCAGAGTTCATTCATTGTCTCATTCAACATCACTGTGTCACCATTTATAATCATTAGCCTTTCATCATCATTAACATAGTAATAAATAGATTTTTATGAACAATGTTTTTGTCTCTGTGTTAAATTATTATAAAGTGTTGTTTCCCTGGATTAACCAAAGTTCGTAGTTTCATCAACAATACAATATTAAAGGCTCAGTTATATAGAAAATCCATATTTTTATGGAATATTACATTTTATTGAATACCTTTATATTGTATTGACAATTTATTAAAAGTATAAACCTACAAATCGTTTCACAACTGATTATTAAAAAAACGCTATAAAAGACTTCAACAACAGCAGGGGGTGTTACATTTCCTGTTTTAATCTGTGCTTTAGGTGTTATATAACGCAGCAGCTGTGTACTGCAGGATGGGCCAGTGGGATCAGGCTTATGATGTCCTGCTGTCAGCCTCCCAAGAGCATGGTGCAGGGCAGGTGGGGGATATCAATGCAGCATTGGACAGCATAGAAGTAAGTGTCCCAACCCATTAAGGAGTCATACATTCAGGGCCGGATTATCATTGCAGGGGCCCCTGGGCACAATGTGCTTAACCCCACCCCCCACCCGGCCTCCCGCAACATTACTGTCACCCAGTGGCACTTTTTTAAAATTTCATAACAGTGTCAATATTAAAAATCGCTTACTTATGTTGATACAAAAGCATTTACCTCCAGGTCAAAATAGTTTTATAACCTAATCACAAACACTCATACCTGATGATTTTCCTGTTGTGCCTCACTCATATGTCATTCTTCCTCTGTCCTCTCTCTTTTCAACTCTTTTTCTGTCTCTCTCTTCCTCACAGCACTCCTCTCTTCTCTTCTGTCTGTAATAACAAAAATGTTGTCAATCTGTGGGACAGTGGGGACAAGAGTCCGCTGTAAAAGAGATCCCACTGTCAAACTACAACAGAAAGTAATGCAGGATTATTTAAAAGATTATACAATTATTGAAAAGTTTGCAAAGATGAAATATCTGCATGTTTTTTGTTTGTCTCCTGCTTCCTTCCTCTTCTTGTCTCCTGTCTCCTTCCTCCACTTGTCATCTGTCTCCTTCCTCTTGTCTCCTGTTTCCTTCCTCCTCTTGTCTCCTGTCTCCTTCCTCCTCTTGTCTCCTGTCTCATTCCTCCTCTTGTCTCCTGTTTCCTTCCCCCTCTTGTCTCCTGTCTCCTTCCTCCTCTTGTTTCCTGTCTCATTCCTCCTCTTGTCTCCTGTCTCCTTCCTCCTCTTGTCTCCTGTCTCATTCCTCCTCTTGTCTCCTGTTTCCTTCCCCCTCGTGTCTCCTGTCTCCTTCCTCCTCTTGTTTCCTGTCTCATTCCTCCTGTTGTCTCCTGTCTCCTTCCTCCTCTTGTCTCCTGTCTCATTCCTCCTTTTGCACTCAAATAAAAAAAAGTGTTGGATTAACTTAAAAATGTTTTGTCAAGTGGTTCCACACAACTTTGTTAAGTAGATGTTAATAAACACATTCAAGTTACTTAAAATTATTATGTAAATTATATGGCAGTGACTTAAGTAACTTTGAGTTAATTAGGCTACTTTAACTTTATGATTGAAACTTACATAAAACTAATGTGACACAGTAAAGTTCAATGAATGAAATAAATATACTTTAATAAAAAGACTTGTATCTGAGTTACACCAACTTGATCATGTTAATTAATGTTAATGAAAGACATGAACACAATTGGAATACTCAAAACAGCAGTTTTATTAACTATTGAAACAGCTTCTTATCCAAAAATACAAATTCTTATGTATGTACATTACCTTTTTAACAGGTTTGTCGCTGTGTTGCGCTCACGCCGTAATACAGTATTACATGTGGTTATAGTGATTGATTAAGTGATGCTTAGGCTGGTGGGGGGAGGAAAACTTGGCCTAATAAGCACTGGAGGAAACCCTGTCAAGATTGTCAACACTCGTTTATCTTAATGCTACTGAAACATATAAACCAAAAAGCATTATATCCACTGCTACCTTTCTAATTTTAAACTCAGTAACTTATGCTGTAACTTCACCTTGCCCTGCCTGCTCCTCCTTGCTGCCCGCCGGCTGTGATCACAAGCGCCAACACAGTAGTTCCCGCTGCCTCTTCAGGAAACAGCACCAAAAAAAAAAAAAAACTTGGGATCTTGTAGGCATGGCTGTGGGATTTCAGCCGAGGCGGGCCGCCACACTGCTGGGGTTCGGTTGTAGCTGTGATAACGGAGCTAACCATGCTAGTGGAGCTAACCACACAACCTAAGCTAACAGGACTAATGGAATAATAGTTGCTCGATATATTTACCAAATTCTTGTCAGTAATTTAACAGCTTTACACGGAATAGTTTCATAAATCAGTAAGAAAGACTTTCACTTAGTTAACGGAGCTAACCACGCCAACTAAGCTAACAGGACTTAATGGAGCAATAGTTTGCCGATATATTTAACCAATTTTTGTCAGTAATTTAACAGTTTCACACAGAATAGTTTCATAAATCAGTAAGTAAGACTTTCACTTACCAGTATTGAAAGGTGAATTTGGCTCTTTCCACTGCATGTAACACTCTCCATAGGCATGTGGCTCCCTCCGCAATGAAAAGAAATTAGCCAGGACATACGGAGTCTTCCAAGGGACAAACTACACCAATTTACAAAGCGCCTTTTGTTAGACTTAATATTTACATCATAAACTTGTTGGTGTTACTTACACAGTTAAGTACATCTGACATTGCCAAAGTATTTGCTTTCAAATAAAACAAATAACGTAAGTAAATGTAAAAAAAATATATAGTTTTTGATTTACTTTTGTTTTACTTCTAACACGATATGTTTTATTGCCAATGACATTGAGATTTCCTTTTTTTTGGGTGTGTCTCCTGTTTCCTTCCTCCTGTTGTCTCCTGTCTCCTTACTCCTCTTGTCTCCTGTTTCTTTCCTCCTCTTGTCTCCTGTCTCTTTCCTCCTCTTGACTCCTTACTCCTCTTTTTGGCTCCTCTTGTTGGTCTCCTCTCTTGCCTTCAGAAAAACAGCTTTCTGGCCTTTCTCTTAGTAAATTAATTTACGATGTCATCAAAGTCCAGATTCCTGATAAGCTGAGATCCAGTAGCCATCAGTGACAGTGCACTGAGGCGCTGTTGAGTTTGTGTTGTTCTCAGTTCATTTTTATTCTTGCCATTTGTGAAAATGATCGTTCTCCTTCACAATTTGTAACTGGCAGAGTTAGAAAAATCTGCAGGAACACAAACACATTAGGGAAGATGGACTGTAGACAATATTTTAGCCCGAAAACGATCCTGGTACTGCTTATATCAAATTATAAATGTGGACTCTCTGGGGATTATGTAGAGCTGAGAGGCGCAGAGCTCTGATCATTGACGCGTTCCAGACAGATGCGTCCTGAGCACGGCCACAGTAAAAATATCAAATTGTCGCCACCTCAAAAACAAATTTAACACGCGATCGTTCATGTCAGCTCAGATCCGTTCATGCTTTCCGTCTTTTATTTGTGTCTGATGCGTTTCGCTGCTGCGGAGCAGAGCGCATTACCTGTTTCATCCTCCGGAGACTTCGCCGCACTGGTGCGGCCGGCACGCAGCGTGCACTCGGCTATTGTTTGCTGTCGGTAGATCTTTTTGAACTGTAGTTCAAAGGTAATTCATGAGGTGAAAATATGAACCCAGGTAGCAGTTTTTCTTCAGGATTGAGAGGAGATGCAAGAAGATAATAAACAGACAGAAAAGAAAAATAGTCAAATAAAAACAAGTTTGTTTTCGTACCTGGTGGTTGCAACAAACAGACACCATTGAAGGTAATCAGAAGTGAGGAACAGAAAATGAAATGATTATTTTAATGTTTAGAGCAGCAGAAACTCTGAGAGGCTGCAGAGTTTGCATTGCATCAGTGCGGCTGCTGCGCAGGGGGAGGGGGGAGAGAGATGAAGCAGGCAGTAAAGATGCAAAAACTACCGCTGTTAAAAGAAATGTGTGTTAACTTAGAAAATGTGGGCGCAAGTTTAATAACTTGTCAACTTTTTTCTCCAACGTTAAGACTGCTGCACAAAAAAAAAAAGACTGCTGCTCGCGTGGGCCCCCTTGTTGCTGTGGGCCCCTGGGCCCGGGCCCAGTTTGCCCGTATTATATTCCGGCCTTGCATACAATTTAGAACCACATTTACCTTGTTGTCACAAAATGCTGAGGTAAGAACCCAAATGCAAGTGACAGAGGAGATCCAAGAGGTGGCCTGGTAAGGTCAAACAAGTTAAAGGTCTTTTACTTTTTAAAGAGCTGGGGCCTCATTTATCAAGCTTGCTTACGCACAAAACAGGGTTGGAAAACTGCGTAAGCAACTTTCCACGCAAACTTTGGGATTTATGAAAGAAAACTTAGCGGGAAAATGTGCGCAACTTTAAGCTGACTACAGTAAGGACCTGGCTTACGTACATGTTGGACATGGAGAGCACCTGCAGTGCTGCTGCTGAGAAGATACAATTGTGAAATCTTGCAGCATTATCACTTGTACCTCTTCGTTTTCACACAGAACAAGACCCCGCACACGCGCGCGCGCACACACACACACGCACACACACACACGCGTGCACACACACACACACACACACACGCACGCGCGCACACACACACACGCACGCACACACACACACACACACGCACACACACACACACGCACACACACACACACACACAGCCTGAAGCACAGAATATGGAATGCAGAATATCAGCAGATTGAGACAGAATGTCATGCGTCTGTGACAGTGTGTGTCCTGTCACTGTGATTCAATTAATGATGCGCCCTGGCTACTTGTACAAGGGAGATCTCTGTTTGGGTGACTGGTTAGCACCCATGACTTTCACTCGGGAGTTTGGGGATCAAATCCCAAATGAAACATTTTTTTTTTATATCTGCCACAGATCTCTCTGAAGAACTCAGCATTGACGGCTTCAGCAACGCTGTGCCACTCTGTGGATTTTCTCTCATTTGTTTTGCAAAAGCACTTCCTTTCATTTCTCCACCTCACCCACAAGTACCTCAATTTCTGCTTCTGTGAAATAGCGCTTCCTTGATCTGCGGTTGCCATCGTTAATGGTGAAGCGCTGCAACCGCCGGCTTATGTATATGCATGAGATCCACAAAGCACTTTGCATTGACCATGTATGGCAGTAAGTGGCCGTGTTGAGGGCGGGCTCATATGTACTGACTTTAAACAAATCCTCTGTCTGTGATTCTGAACCAGAGAAGGGAGGATCTGTCTCTACTCCTGGTACCTGAAGGTGTGGTGTTCCGACCCAGGAAACAAGAGGTAGAACAGCTCCAGCAAAAAGACTTCTTGGGGAAAGCAAAGGTACAGGTATTCTTTTCAATAACAAAACACCAGCTGACCAGAACAGTGGTTTGACTGTGTGAGTTTTGCAGGTGGATTTTCTGTTCCTGGGAAGAGGTTGTCCTTAATCACCTTAGAAAACAGGTTGCTTCTTTTCAAGGCCCCCTTCAATTTGCCTATAGGAAGGGTGTGAGTGTAGAAGATGCCCTTCTGTGTATGTTAGACATTATTTATAAACACCTCGAAAAAGCCAGCGCTCAGTTCAACTCATGTTTTTGGATTTTTCAAGTGCCTTTAATGCTATTCAGCTGCATATTTTAGATATGAAGTGACTGGATTTAAAGCTGCACAATTGCACCACTGCCTGGATTTTAGATTATCTTTTAAATCGGCCCGTTTGTGAGGGTGGGGGACAAGTGCTCTGATTTGATTTGGACACAATCTGGTGCTCCTTATCTATTTACATTGTAGACAGCCGACTATAGGCACAGTTTGCCATCTTGTCATTTACAAAAGTTCTCACTGCCCTACTGGGCCTGATCTCTGGGGTGATGACCTGGCATATAGGGAGGAAGTTAACTCCTTTGTTAGATGGTGTGATGCCAATTTTCTACAACTTAATGCGGGTAAAACACAAGAGCTAATTAGTGATTTCAGAAAGAAAAAACAAACTTTCTTCCCAGAGGTCATCAAAGGCCAGCCTATTGAAATTGTTGAGTCGTACAAATATTCAGGGGTGTACCTTGTGTAAAGAATGAGTTGTTTACATCGTTCTTATGAACCATAAAATGTGAGATTCCATAGAAATATGAAATATCAATCTGATGGATCTTTGACTATTTTAACTAGACGATCGGAACTTTTTATTGCAGGGATTACGCGACACTTCGTATTAACTACAAGGAAAGAGTCAGGTATGAAATAGTTAAGAAATTTATTTCTACACAATTTAATCAATCAATCAATCAATCAATCAAATTTTATTTGTAGAGCACCTTCCACAACGTTATCGGAAGCCCAAGGTGCTGAACAGCATCATCATAAGAAAAACATTCCCAGTACCTGGGCATAAAAGCAAGATAAAAACATAAAATCATAAAATATCAAGCAAACAATATTACAAATAAAGAGAGATGATGGAATAAGACTAATCGATCAAAAAACAAATGGTGGACAAAATAAAATCAAGCATCTGGGTTAAAAAGAAGAAGAATTAAAACCATAATGTCAGGGCAATTCAAAGAACCCTAGCGCTAAAACGCTATCAAATAAAAATGAGTCTTCAAACGAGACTTAAAGACTTGAAGGGATGGTGCCTGCCTAATGCTCAGTGGCAATTCGTTGCACAGAGTTGGAGCCAAAACAGAAAAAGCACGACAACCCCTCGATCGATATTTTGACCGGGGGACCACCAGAAGTTCCTGCTCGGCTGAGCGAAGAGACCGAGATTTAAACAAGACTAACTTAAACACTCTGTGTACCGATGGAACTAAGGTGGAGTGAGACGTGATGAATGATGATGGTGTGTGTGTGGAATGCTATTCAGAACCAGCGGATCCGGAGAAGCATTCTGAGTGGGAGTGAATGTTTAGCTCTAAACTTTAGTAGGAGATTTATAACACACATGAAACGCCATCTGTCGGTCTATGCAACCCAGGGGAAGCCTCCGTTAGATCCAGAATGTCGAGGTCCTCTTGGACCCTCCTTGGTGCCGAAGCCGGTAGAAAAGCAGCGGTGCCGACCAAACTAGTCTTGGAATGCTTCCAGGTCACGACAGGTTATCACTGGCGTCTCCGAGACCCTGAAGGGGTCGTGAGGTTCAGCTTTTATTCTGAAGGAACCGTTGCGGTCAGGTGTAACTTGCAACAGATTTTATCCAGCTTGTCTGAGGTTCTTTATGGCTGAAGAGGAAGTCCGGATGGCCGGTCCGAGACTCCTCCAGAACTCTTGAACTAAAGAAAAGGTGGCGTGGAATAGTTTTTATAATTGTCATATTTTGGTTTACTGGCGAATCAGAATGTGACATGCAAAAGAGGGATTATACAAACACCACAGATAACCACGCCTAGCCAGAAACGAAGGTTCTGATTGGATCAGACAAAAGGAAATGCGTCGTGTGGCTTTAGCATTACATGTCATCAGTGTCTAGTGCAAATGTCCAAGATTATAATAACTTGTAAAATACTACTGATCACAGGATTATAATATCAAGTAATAACATTGTCATTTCACAGACTGATTGAAGATTGGGCTAATTAACAAAGTTGTTGATGATGTATTTATCAAAATAGTTCTTCGTCTTCGTCTTGGGCTGAGGTGAAGCAGTTCAGATGAGCAGAGTGCATGAAAGACCTTGGCCACTATCTCATGTAGATTAGGCTGTCAGAGACTTTATGTCTCTGCTCAAGCAGACGCAGCAGATCATGACCTTTAGGTCGTAAACAGGACATTCATGACGCTACACATGACAACAAGATAAACTGGAAAAGGAACAGTGATGCTCTTGTTAAAAAGGCCAAGTCCAGATTGCTTTTCCTTAGGAAGATGAGATCCTTTGACATAAGCAGCAGGTTCCTGAATATGTTTTATCAGGGTGTCATGGCTGGTGTGTTTTATGCTGTATTGTGTTGGGGAAGGAGCCTCACTGTTGAGGACAAAAGTAGAACCACCAAAATGATCAAGAAATCTGACTCAGTGGTTGGACAACGTTTGGATTCATTCGACATTATCATGAATCAACGGATAATGAGCAAACTTAAGACTGTTCTGTCTCTCAAGGATCACCCTCTCCTCAGTGTTTTCAATGAACTCAGGAGATCTTTCAGTGGGCAAATGTTAATGCCCCGTTGTTCAACTGAACGTCTTAAAAACTCTCATTCCTGCTGCAGAGCGGTTTAAAAATGAGCACCATCTGCGATCTTATATTCAGTGTTGGTATTGTTCTTGTGGAACTATGGTTGTGGTCCGTAGCAGAGTCAAGTGAATGAGACTGTGTGTATGTATGTTTGTGGCTGTTTTTTACATGCCCACGGCAACTCAATTTCCCCCTTGGGGATTAATAAAAGTAAATGGTAACGCTTCCTTTTACAGTCCCCTAATTACTAAGTACGTACATAGTAAGTTAAAGTTTATTATTGTGTAATTAAAGTGTATAATTGTAATAAAGTGTATTTTTTGTGTAAAGCAGTATTTACTAGGAATGATTAATAAAAAAACTAGAACTGAACCTTAGTTACATGGTAACAGTTTAACAATAATACAATTTAACTTACTATGTAATTACCATGTAAGTACTTGGTAATTAGGGGACTGTAAAATGAAGTGTTACCAAGTAAATCAAAATACAAGAAGAAATGATTTTATATAGTGCCTGTATTGCTTTTGTATACCAAAAAAATTCTGATCTGGAGTTTATGTATCTGATCTCAAATCCTTTTACTCTTCACCAGTTTGACTATTTCAGCTCACCTAAAGTACGCTTCATTCTCTACTTCCAGGTGATTACTTCTATGATTCCTGATGATGATTTTGGAGGTTTTGAACCTCTGAGGCAGCAGGTAAGTGAGTAGTCTCATCCTGGAATACCTGTACACCTGTCAGTAAAACAGCTTCTAAGTGTCTGTGATCTTTACAGAAACCAGGTTTCTATGACCCGAAGACTGAAGGAGATCAGTGAGTCCTCTGAGCTGTGTGGCTAGTATCACCAGTGTGTGTGTGTGTGTGTGTGTGTGTGTGTGTGTGTGTGTGTGTGTGTGCGCGCGCGCGCATATCTTTCATCTGCTGTGAGGACACATTTTTGACTTTTCACCTCTAACATGGGGATATTTGCCAGGTCCCATTTTTGGTTCTTTTAAAACACAGGAAAGGTTTCTCTTTACCTTGCTAACGTTTAGTTTGCCGACTGCAAATGGGTGCAGGATGTTTTGCAGTCGGCAAACTAAACGTTAGCAAGGTAAAGAGAAACCTTTCCTGTGTTTTAAAAAGAACCAAACATGGAATTAGAAATTAGACACAGTAAGAACACACCAAAGATATCTGCCAGGTCCTCACAGTGAAAAACCTGTGAATTAACTTTTAGTAGAGGTCAGGGTTAGGCATAGTAAAGTCACAAGTCAATGAAGCGCCCTCTCATGTATAGCTATACCAGTGTGTGTGATGATTTTTGCTTTGTTTTTAGGGAGTCCCGTTACGTGTATGTGCGGGGACCTCACGTGGCTCGGGGCCCGGGACAGCTGACTGTGCCTGGAGGAGCCATGGTGTTTTTATTTGGGGAGGAGGACAGAAATGGAATGATGAATGTCATATATGATGGACAGGTAAACCATACTGGGTAGAATGAAGGTGTGTTTCCATTGTCAGAACTTGTCAGAAAACCAGCTCAGTGGCCTAGTGGTAGAGTGTCTGCCCTTAGAATGGGAGATCGGGGTTCAAACCCTGGTCAAGTCATACCAAAGACTTCAAAAATGGGACCTAATGCCTTTCTGCTTGACACTCAGCTTCAAGGGATCGGATTGGGGGTTAAACCACCAAATTGTTCCCGAGCACAGCCGGGTCTGCAGCTCACCGTGCCCCCAGGGGATGGGTCACATGTGGAGAACAAATTTCACATGCACTCATCAGACAGTGGGTGTGTCCGAATCCACGGGAAGGATGCTTGTAAGAGCGCATTTTGAGGTCGATGACGTCAAAACGCAGCGACGAGTACTGTTCGAATTCCAAGAATACTCAGTCTCGCGTCCTCAAACGCGTCCTCGCTCCACCCACATTTCGAAGATGGGTCTGATGGATCCTCACAGGAGCAAGGGTATCCCAGCATGCTTTGCGCGCCGGCCGCTGGACTCGACACTCACAACAATGGCGGACAGAGCGGGAGAGCAGTACAGCTTAAAATGTAAGTTAGTTAAAAAAAATAGCGGTAAAAAAAATGTTAGTATGTTCTATAGTAATTTGTACTTTTTAGGCAATATTATGTATCTACTTGTTAGTATGTTCTATAGTAATTTGTACTTTTAGCCACACGTCTTTCAGTTGCTTAAAAGATAAATGAAACTAGCTAAGTTAGCATATGATTCCTGAAAGCTGGTTCACTAAACAAAAAATATATATATATATGTATTACCTGGATATGGTTGCTTCTCAGCCTTAAATAATAACGTCGGCGACGGAGATTAAGCAGGTCATTAACTAAAAAGTATAAAAGGAAAAAACAACAGATTTCTGGATCCAATTTCCCAGCTTGTTAGCCTGTTTGCCGCTGTCATGGTAGCTAAGCAACTGGACCTGGGGGCGGGAATAAAACGAGGCTAGTTCTGTCCGAATTCAGAGCCGCTGACTTCCGGTTTTAGCGGTCTAGCAAGGACCCGGCCTTGCTAGACCGGCGAGCACCCGCACTCACAAGCATCCTTCCTCTGGATTCGGACACACCTTTTGACTTTTTTTTAACTTCAAGGTAATTTCTGGGATGGGTAAATAGACTGGGAGATACGATGGCTTGGGCCTCTCAGCTGTTGTGTGTAGCGTTAAAGAGTGGCTACACATGTAACAAAAGACCAATAAGATGTGATAATTCCATAAATATGAAATATCTATGTTAATGGTCTTTCAACGTTTAATCAGAAGACTCTAGTTTGTTTTACTTATTCAGGGACCATAAACACACGTCATATTGATTCAAACAGAGTCAAGTTTATAGTTTATAAAAATGAATTTATTTCTATTTCCCTTAACTAATAATTATACATGACAAGGTATGAATGAGGATGTAATGTATGTGGTGTAATGGAATGATATGAAGTTATTTAATGTGATGAGAGAGTTTGTGGAGTCTGGGTTGTAAAATCAATTCGGCAGCATGTTTGTAAGCTAAAGAAATACCATCCGACACCAGTGTGCAGTCTACGATACCTTTGTATGTGTCACTCCCAGCAGTCTGGAGGAAAGGCGGTCCGAGTGGTGAGTCACCAGATGTCGAGAGCACGAGAACCCAAAAGGTCGTAGCTCTCCTTGAATTCAGCTTTCACCGACCCTGAGATGTAACCTGGGTCTGCCGGTCAGAAGTCTGATGTGTTGAGTGGCTCTTAAAAGAGCCGTTGTGTCTGCATCACTCGCAGCGTTGCAGAAAGGCTTTGACTTGATGTCAGAAGATAGGATGGTTTTAACCCTCTCAGGCTCAAAATAAGTTATGATAAAAGGACGAACAACCAAGTCCTTCAGTGGAACTTCTGAGCTAAAAAATGCTCATGAGATACGTGTGTGGAGTAACCAGGTAGGTAGGTTTTAACCAGTGTTGGGCAAGTTACTTCAAAACTGTAATGCATTATTTATTACTTGTTACCCTCATTTTAAAGTAATTCATTACATTACAATGTTACTGATTTAAAAATGTAAGCCATTACACTACTTTTGCACTACTTTAAGTTACTTTCACCAAAACAACTTCAGTATGAATCTGGTCATGTGACGCTCAGTGAGCTCATGACATATATGTGGAAGGTGAGCTAGGATTGCTGTTAAAAACAGTCAGATATAATAACAGTGCTTTAAAATGATTGTTTATTAAATAAAAGCAACAACAATCTGTACTCTCAGCACGCTGCCATCTTATATTAACTGAGCAAGGAGTGAGGTGGTGGGGGCTCCAAGCCTATATTTGCCTTGGTCCCCAAATGCCTTGATACGGCCCTGGATGTGGGACTGGCTTCTGGGGTGATCTGATTCTATCACATGTATAAATATTAAATGCTTATATATTATTGCTTTTCACTGGTAAACATGTGTATTGGGGATAAATCTACCTACTTTTTTCTTTTTAAGCTCTTTGTTTTGTTTTCTTGATTTTATTTGAATGACTTCCTGCCCTTTCTCTCTCTAACCTTCCTGCATGCTGCATATTTTCTCCGTCTTCCAGAAAAACTGTAAACTAGATTTCTTACATTCTAGCTAAATAAAAAAGCTTAATATGCGCTGCGCTCCAGCAGCAATGAGTTGAAATCACCAGGGCACAGATTATGAACTCAGCTGAACACTACATGAAGTACCAGAGAGTATGGGCTGATATAAACGATCGCAAACGAATTACTTTGTTTTGGTGGAGCGATTTTGTGAATATAACAGCGGCCGCGCGCAGGACGCAGCTGGAGTATTTGAGCCATCACCGCTGCGTCCTCTCTGCTCGTAGAATGCCCGCAAAGCTGAGTCCATAAATGACGTCATTTATGTGGATACTGGATCTTTTTTCAGGCTTCCCGCAATTTGAATTTTTAGGAAACCCACATCTTGATTCTGGGTTTAAAAATGCGTTGTAATTACCGCGTTACTGACAATTGTACCGAGTAAATATTACCATTTTCTTTCCCTGTAATGCCTTACATTACCACATTACAGCAAAAAGCAATGCATTACAGTAATTAATTACTTTTGTACCGCATTACTCCCAACACTGGTTTCAACGTTGCAAATCTGCAACATCTGCCTCCAGAGGGTTAAAATTATTTTTCCACTGATTTTCCAATCGGAAGCCAGCTGGAAAGTAAATTAATCAGAAAGTTATTCCTGTTTTATCAAATCACACTGTTGATAAATTTGGCAAATCAGACGTTTGGGGGCTTTGCCAAAACATGCCTCAGAAGTCACGCCTCCCAAAGACGGTTAACTCTTTGTGTGAATGAGAATGTTTAAACATTTATGTGAAGTGAATGTTAACATGAATAATAATCTTATTATAATGTGTATGAGTTAGGGATGTCCCGATCAGTTTTTTTGCCCTCGAGTCCGAGTCATTTGATTTAGAGAATCTGCTGATACCGAGTCCCGATCCGATATTTTCGATACATAAAAAAAAGAAAGAAAAGGAAGAAACTGTTCCAGAATGTTCCTTATTTTTTATTAAATTACTTTTTTATTTTAATTTTTAACAACAGATCACTTCTGTGAGGTAGCTTGAACAATCAAGTAATAAATAACATAAATTCTTCACTTTTGGACTTTATTGCAAATGTAAAAAGTCTAATATAAAAACAGAGCGCACTTCAGCTTAAAATACCTGGCAGGGGTCTATTTTGCCTCGGCCCCCAAAATGCTTAGATACGTCCCTGGGCATTGTTATGTATGGACCAAGAGTTATTGTGCGTTATTGTGTCATCGCCAGTAGGGGGCACCACGCCCAGTTATGTGTGTGTGTTTCTTCTGTGTTCTGCAATAAACAGGAGAAAAAAAACTTGTAACCAAGCTATCGTGTGTGCAGTCTGACTCGGTATAAACTCTAATAGTGTATTGACACTACGGTGGAAATATAACATAAATTGGCGACGAGCTGTGACGTCTGAGAGACTTGGCTGTCTACTGAGCATGTAATGACTGTGTGGCGAGTTTGGACGAAAACGGACGATCGCGTGGCGACTTAGCATCGGAGCTAGCGGCTAGCTGCTTTTTCTCCGACGAGTCAGAAGCGACAGTGTGGGCTGTGGAAAGAGGATACATCATGGCTGGAGTGATTGGGCAGATGGACCCCTTTGATGATGCTGGTGAGCAATGGGCGACGTATATTGAACGTTTTGAGCATTACATCCTTGCTAATGACATTCAGCCGGAGAAACAAGTCCCGGTGCTGCTGAGTGTGTTGGGTCCCAAGACATACGGTCTTCTGCTTAATCTGGTGGCTCCAAGCAAGCCTGGGGCAATGGAGTATGACGATATTGTGGGTGTATTGCACGCTCATTTTGCTCCCAAACCGCTGGTAATAGCTGAGAGGTTCCGGTTCTACAAGAGGAATCAGGGGGAGGAAGAAACGGTCGCACAGTATGTGGCGGTGCTGAGAAGACTGTCAGAAGATTGCGAGTTTGGTGCGTATCTGGAAGATGCTCTACGGGACAGATTTGTGTGTGGATTAAAGTGTGAAACTGTGCAGAAGCGTCTTTTGACTGAAAACGATCTCACCTTTCGCAGAGCAGTTGATCATGCTGTGTTGGCAGAGACAGCAACACGTCAAGTG